GGCTATAATATCACTAAGGAATTTTTCCGAGTTATATTTCGGTAACCATGCTAAAATCGGCACGCGTCTTAATGCTAATTTGCGTAGCCGATTTATATAATTCCCTTTCTTCTGATAATCAGCTTCAGCCATCTTGGATCAAGTCAACTTCATAAATAAAGCGATGAATAAATAAATATATACAAATCTTTCCGTGTATGTATATAGATATAACGTTTATTTTATATTTTTAAATAAATATAAATGTAAAAACATACAGATATAAATATATATACAAATATAACATACAGATATAAAAAATATAGAAATTTTAATAATTGCTGTTTTAATCACAAAATTATATAGAATATTATTCTATTCCATTTTCAAATATAAATATTTTACTATAAATAATGAAATAATAAATTTTACTATATATAATAAATTTCCTAGTACTTCAAAAACAAAGAGGAACGTCAATTACTTAATATTTGCATAAATTTATATGAATACACACATTTTTCAAATCTCATATATGAATATATTTAATATGAATTAATTATATTCATACAAGCGATATCGTCACATCAAATAATAAAGAAGCCAATATTTTTTGTTCCTTTTTATATTTACATAAATGCATATAACGTTGAGATGTGTATTTATATATTTATGTAAAGCTAAACTATTAACCAATAAAATGTTAATAATAAAATATTTTTTACGAAAAAATGTGTCGAAAATATAACAAAAAATCGAATCCCTTTTAAAAAAATTTTATAATTTTTTGACCGGAACGATGTTCATTGTTGTCAAAGAAACATTAATAATAAATAATAATACCTTGTTTTTTCAAATCATTCGAACAGATATTACAATGTCAATGGATATTACAATGTCAATGGAAAAACAAGATAACATGCAGGATAATATACTTCATGAGATACGGCGCATAACTCGACCAAATATTCATGAAACTTTTTGAAAAAATTTATATTTTTTTGACTAATTGTATACAAAAGTGCCTCTAAAATTTCAATTTAATCGAAATTATAGTTTTCTCAAAAAAAAAAAAAAAAAAAAATTCTAAATTTATCCTATTTCTTAATGTTCAGATCAGAATCCCTCTTTAAAGTGACTAATGCATAGATAAAAAAAACGATAATTTCCATAAATATGCACGAAAAAAATCAAATACAAATACAAATCTGCTTTTTTTCTGCTGAAAAATACCTATTGTCGGTTGTATTATTATGTTGTTTTCTTATTATAATACAATTGTATATATTGAAAATTTATTTTTAGTACTAAAGTAATTAAAATCGCATTTTATATAAGTAATGTGCATTATAATTGAATAACAAGCTAAAATTTTTACGAAATAAAAAAACAACAAGTAGTATCCAAAGTGTTGAAACTTTAAGATATTCGGTACAAGAAGAAAATCGAACGATTTACAATAATTAATTCAAAAATATATCGAAAAAATAAAGGGATTAATTTATAACAGCAAAACAACAAAAAATAATCGTTATGTAAAAAAACTCAAAACTTAATACGTCATTTTTTTTTTAATTGATGAGGAAGTGTGATAACTCAATCACCGATAATTTAATCAATGATAAAGTAATCACATTCAAGTTATATGTGCTTACAAAAAAAAATATCTTTCGAGAAATAGACTCGATAAAACTTCTAGTTACACTGCAATGCAATAGTTACTTTATTGTCAGCAAAATTGTCAGCAAAAGCTCAATTTTTGCTATTGTAAACAGTCGCCATTGTAAAAGTAAGTCTTTTTTTAAGAATTATAAGATTTACAATTTGAGTTTAATCAAATAATTACAAGCATCACTATCATTTTCAATAGCAAAAGAGATTTTCTGTAATCAATATTGTATAACAAAGATGATTAATTTTATGACTTAAAAATTTAAATGTAGGCGTACCTTAAAAATATTAATAAAGTATGTAAAAGTCTATAGTTGATATCCATTTAGTTTCTGTAAAAATTTAAAAAATTAACTTTTGTTAAGCATGCAAACATTATGTATATTTTCTTAATATTATCTGATGCGCGAGTAATTTCATTGTATATAACAATGAATTTTACGTTTTGTCGAAATATTTTTTAAACTATTAGATTTTCTAGTTATTTTAAAAATAAAATAAAAGATAATATCATTTATTTATCAATTTAGAAATTCTTATAAAAAAATTCTTGTGATTCTCTTTAAGAAAAAATATTTTAATAAAAGTTTTACAAAAATTATATATAATCATATATCACATTTAAGAATCTGACTATATCGAGTATATCGAATATAATTAGTATTGTAAATAACTGATAATCGTGTTTATTATCTTAAATTATTTAGAAGTTAAAATATTTTAAAAATATTGTGATTATAGAATTTATATAAACTAAAAACTCTTACTATTTTAAAAATCATTACGATCAAAACTATATATAAATACATCTCAATATAAAAACTATAAAGAAAATTAGAAAAAAATATTTGCTTATCTACTTTATCATAAAATCACTTACATATTTATTTAGATTTCGTTAATTAACAAATTATTTCAAAAGTATAAAATTACACTTTGTACATAGAAAGAACAGTTTTGCTGAAATATATTTAAAAATTTGGCCAAATATAGATTGGAAAATAATTTTTTATTGAACCATTGAAATAATATTTAGACTTTAGTAAAACTGTCTTTTTTTTTTTTCATTCACATATATATGTGATTAAATTCTTTCCGATTATTCTGAATGAATCTATCTGGCGTTATCTGAACCGCGTGTTTATTTGCAGAAGCATTTATGATTCATCGTTCATCATAAAACATAACTCTTACAAATGTAAAATCACATTGTGTCTTATATCTTATATGTAATAAGTGTGTTAATTATTATAAAAATTTGTATATTCAAAGCCAAATACTTTCACTAGAAGGTTTCCTCTAACACAAATAATTGTTTTTTTTTTCCTCCGAGAAAATTCAATTCATTGAAGCTACACGTGCTACTTTATATATTAAATTTACTATCTCGTTGAATGCACTCAAACTTCTCTCGCGCTAGTAAATTCCAGTAGGCTGTAAACTGAAAGTACGTATGCCCCGTCGTGCCCATTATATACTCGGATAACGCGTAGAATTTGCATTGGTCGGGGGAAAGTCGCTGTTAACCTTCGCTCTTTTTATACAGAAATCACACAAATATGTTAATCACTACGTTTATGCTCGCCACTGAATATTTATTAACATTTATTTGAAAAATTTTAGCATCATCAACTATGAAAATACAAGTGTGAGTGCGTGTGCGTGCGTGTGTGTGTGTGTATTTATATATTTATATACAGTATGTATGTATGTATATATTTATATACAGTATTTTCACGATTAAAAATATTGACGATGCTTCAAAACAGTTTAGATTGATCGAACATATCTTCAGTTTGAAAAATTCAAATTGTTTGATATTTTTAATCTAGATTTTTTAATCTAAAAACAATTGTAAATTTTGTTTATAACCTATTTATCTAAATTTATTAATTAGATTTATTAATAATTAGATTGGGACATTAATTAACTGAATAGTTTGGTTTGTACAGGTTGTATTACACATATATTACAATTCATATTCGATTATCAGCCAAATAAGATTGTATTTCATAACTGTATAAAGGTTGTAAATAGTTCCAATATAATATAAGAACGTATTAAAGATATGTAAAAAATATAATTGTGTTATTTTTATATAAATTTGTATTATAAATTGGTTTTGATTTAATTCGTTTTCTGAAAGAATAAATCTATTCCTTCAATATAAATTATTATTTAAATATACTTATTGCAATATACAATTGTCAGATAAAGATTATAAGGATAATAGAAATTGAACACAATAATGTAATAAAAAATGTACACAATAAAAATGCAGTACATAAAAAAATAAATATAAATGAACGAAAATGTTTATTAATTTTAAAAGATATGACCCAGTTTTTATAAAAATTCCTACAAACTCTATTCAAAACTTATTTGTTTAAATTGTGACGTAAAATTGTTAAATAAAAATTACATATAAAAGTAATATATTATAACTTTATATTAAGTTTCATTTTTTTTTTATTTTAAAGAGTTTGAAACCGGGTTATTCACTAGCTATCACACGCGAGGCTACATACGCGAGTGATACTTTCTAGAGAATAAAAAACTTATGCAGATTGCTCAATGAACACAGCTTCTAGATCACAGTTTCAACGTTTCTATAACAATTGATTATGTAATTAACATCTTTAATATATTATAAATTCACGCATTTTCAAATATATGTACGGAAAGTTGAAAATCGCAGTAAATTTTGAAAAATAAATTTCTCTTCTTTCCTAGATGTCTTTTCATCGTCGACTTCATGAACTAAATCAAATTCATTTATATCAAGAAACATCAATCTATTTTATGTGATTGCTATTTGTTGTTTTTTACAATCAAGATATACTGTTTCATATCAATTTTTCAGTCTCCTATAGATGTATGTACATATGTGTACATATGTGTGCGTGCGTGCTGTATAATATGCAGTTTTTTTAGAAAAATATATACTCGTATATCACAAATTACATAATTTTCCTTTTAAAACAAATATATATTTTCTTTATTCCAATTTGTCAATAAAAGATTTTCAGAACGCCAATCTATTCAAAAATAAATATGATCTTGATTGTCTGTGTATACTGAATCTTTTAGAATATGTTAATGCATTTCTCTTCCAGTAGCTTTTTAAGAAGAAATAGAATTAATAAAGAAGAAATAGATTTCTCTTATGATATATGTGATCTAACATTACGCGTGATATATCTTGTATTAAGAACTCATTTGATTGATTTATGTACATAGATTCAGTGAGAAAAATAAGAAGGAGAAAAACCAATCATGTTAGAATTTTGCAATAGTTGCAGAGTTGCTTTTTCTACTAAACTCAATATCACTTCAATGGTCACAAATGATCAAATCTTAATTGCATACAACATAATTATTGAACATTGAGTCTTTTAATTTGGAAAACACATTTGGTTTTATATACCAAAAATATCATTAATTGTCTCAAGATTCATACACATTTGTAATATCAATAGAAAAAGGATATATTTTGTATCCATTATTTTTATTATTCTTTTATTCTTTACTTTTATTATTCTTATATATTTTTATTCTCATGTACATTTATGATTTCAAAAAATATCATTTTTGCTACTTTGTAGAATTTAAAGTTTTAAGTAGAGGAGAGATCATAAGATAGATGTAGGATGAAATACTAATTTGTGTAATTTGTGTTGAAATCTAGGAATAACTATTAAATTTACTTCATTACAGCCTATTAAACATAGGACAATTATTGATCATTAGTATTCATTATGTTTTTATTAAATTTCAGTTTTGCACATAGCACTTTTATTAGATGTATACTCTACGAAAAGTATGTTAAGTGTTAATTTTTATCTAGTAATTTTTATCTAGTTTGAAGGCCTTTTATGACATTAATTGTGTGATAGTATGTCACAATCCCTCTTTTATCACAAAAAACGTATCTTTTTGTTCCCTCTCCAGTAAATTATAAATTACATTCATTCTATGTATTCAATAAACTACTACCTATAGGATGATTGATAAAACTCTATGCCTAACAAACTTGTGTTCGTATAAATGTCACGTTAATATCTAACAAGTTATTTTAAGAAAATAAAAGGATATTCCACCTCTCCTTCTCTCCTCTAAAATGTCTATCATGTAAAAAATATAATATTTTTAAATAGATTTCAAAAAATGCTTTCAAAAAAATTTTGGAACCATTTTTTTCAGAAATTTATAAATATAGCAACAAAACGATATTCAGTACAAAAGCTACTTCTATATACATATCTAAATACAATAAAAAATATTAATTTAAACAAGATGTGACAAAATAATCATAAAAGAAAAAACTAACACACATAGAAGATGATAAATACATACAAGCATTTCACTTATTAAAAAAGAATTTTTTTGCTTTTATATATGCATATTTATATTGCAGTTTCTCTATGAATACAGCTTTGTTTACGCATAAAATATGATCCACAACAATAATACATGCACAATAATATGCAATAAAAAATGATTTGACATTATTAGATTAAAGTAGAACATTAATAATAGTATAGTGATGTTATATGATAGTGATGTTATTCTACTTTAAAATTTTAATTGAAAACACTTGATATTTTCTTATTATCTACAAAATTCTTATATAAACAGTTGAAAATATCAATATCTAAATGAAATTTATATCACACTAATATTATATGATAATATCAATTGCATATTCCTTCAAAAAACATAATTGAAACAATTGTTATATTGTGTCATTCATGCATCCACGCCCACGCCCACGCCCACGTTCATGCACACACACACATACACACTTTATTTTATTAAAAATTAAAATAAATTAATACTTTTAATACAAATTAATATAAATATTGTATTTCAAACGCGATATTTCTCAAATAAAACAATTACGAAATAAATTTACATATCTGTTTTTGCTATTTAACCAAAAAGGTATTTATTTAGAATACTCTTCTCATCTTAAATCTTAATAAAAATGTCTCATTCGATGCATTTTCACTCGAAATTAATCTTTAATATTTTAAAAAGTATATGGTACGTTTTTATATATATATATATATATATATATATATATATATATATATATTATATATATATATATATATATATATATATATATATACGTACACCACACACACACACGCGCGCGCGCGCGCGCGCTCTCACGAGACTCGATGAGTTAACAACATCAAAGTTGTCATAGAAATATGCAATGGTTTTTATTAAGAAATCGAATTTTGGAACTTATTTGTTTATTACATAATTAATATTGTAACATATCATAAAATATTAATTCAATAACGATATTATTATGATATGTATCAGCTGTCAAAATAAATTCATCATATCCATTTGTCTCATATCCATTTGTCTCATATAATAGAAGGCACTGGAATATATTTTTTTTTTCTATTTATATCAATATAAAACATTAAAATGATTTTATTATTTTAAATTAAAAGAATCTGAAGCATTTGTGTACTAGGAATGGAGCCATAAAAGATTCTTATA